TGGAGAGCATCGGAGCGATCATCAACATGACAGCTCACAGCATCTGCCCAGCAAACCCTGCCAACGCCCTGCACAATCACAGGACCCTGCCAAGCGCCTGGGCTCCGTGACGGGGGGTGACGACCTCAAATCCCACCCCTGGTTTGCCGGGATCAACTGGGCCCTGCTGCGACACAGCGGGCCGGTGGACCTTGCCGGGGTGTGGGGGGACGCGGGTGGCGAGCCGGCAGAGGCCCCGGACGCCAGCACGCCCAAGGTGGGGAGCTGGTCCGACAGCGACATGCCGCCCCTGGAGTAGACAAGGCGGCGCAGCCGCTGGTGGGGAGGGCGGGAGGGTCAGGAGCCCTCGTCCCTGCGCAGAGCTCGTCAGATCCTGCCAGACGCTCATCTTGTCGGAGATTTTCGAGGGTGGACGGGGAGCCTCCTCTGGTCGAGGTGGTCGCACTCCTTCGCCCCTTCGCCCAATCTTGATCAGCACTCACCTTTCGTGGTACGTTTCCCAGCAGTTTCCCCTTGCCAGGCACGGCGAGTTCTCCCGTGCCCAGGCACGTGCTGTGTCAGGGGGCAAAGCCCACCCACCGTGCCAAGCGCATGCCTCGAGCCCAGCACATGCTTCGAAGCTGCACTCGGACTTGTTGAGTCTTGTCAGGACGCATGCACCTTCTCTTCCCCCTACTTGGCAGACCCCAACCCTATAAATGCATCAGCTCGTTCCATAGGCCCCACCCTCTTTCACCCCTTGTTCAGACCCATCCATGCGTCCAAACACCTGTTCTAAGACCTTGAGGACGCAGTCCTGCCCCACCTTATGCGTTGCTGTCTGGGAGCCGAGTCCTCAGCTAACCTATTTGTGCGCGTGTGCCATCGCGCTTCATTCCATGGCCCGGGATTGTCTCGGCGCCTGGTGGGGATGACAGAAAGATCCATTGCTGCCAATCACTATACCCAAGACCCTAACCCCCTTAAGTGGCTGCTTTTCAGATTGAGGGTATGAGGGGAGATCGAAGGAGAGTTCGGACATCTAGCAAGGATACCACCCTAATGACTGGTGCCAGAGGGGTTGTCACTGTTGAGCGCAACCACCCGAATTTGGTGATGCGGGCGCTTCGTACGCATGTGCAGCCGCAGGCATGACGCTCCCACGATGCTCTGAAAACACCGCATCTCCTCCTTCCCGGCACGACCTCGCGAATTACATCCTCAGGGCGCGATTGTAGCATGAGTGTCGCTTCCATGTCGCCCAGCAGGGCCGGCGTCGACCAGAGCTTGAGCTCGGGAGCGACCTTCATGACAGGTGCCCGCATTCATGCCGTCCGACAAGCATGCCCCTGCCGACCCCGAGGACGCCATTCCAGGGTACAGGACAGTGCGCGACGCCGGGATGTCGTCAGATGCGCCCTGGTGAGTCGGGACCCTGGGCCCCATGTTGGGCGCGCATGCGCCATCGAAGCAGGGTGTGTGCATCAGAACGAGCCAGCCGTCTTGTGAGACGAGATTCGAGGGCCATCCCCATCCTTCTCCCTGCAGGACCCTGGCTCTCTCGTCCTTGTGGCAGGAGCCACGGGGGGTGTCGGGCAACTGGTTTGTGCCAAGCTCTTAGAGGTGGGTGTGGGAATGGGAGCCGGGGCCCTGCACTGACATGCAGATGTTGCCCACATCCTGACATTCAGAGCGGGCATGGGGGATTGGATCCCGCTGGAGCTGGAGAGTGTCCAGGGCGCAGCCACCCAGCCCCCCGCTCCCCCCCGCCGAGCAGAGGGGAATGCGCGTGCGGGCCCTGTGCCGCAGCGAGGAGCGCGCGGCACGCCTGCTGGGGCGGCGGGAGGGCCTGGAGGTTGCGCTGGGCGACGTTCGGCAGCCGTCCACGCTGCGCCCCGCTTTCCAGGCGGTGCAGGCGGTGGCATGCGCCATGGGCACCACCGCCTTCCCCACGCTGCGCTGGCTGGGCAACAACACGCCCGCCGCGGTGAACGAGGCGGGCACGCGGGCGCTGATCGACGCCGCGCAGGAGGCCTGCCCGGCCGCGCCCTTTGTCCTGGTCAGCAGCGCAGGGGTGGAGCGCGCCGATCGGCTGCCCTACAGCATCCTGAACGCGGGCGGGGTGCTCACCGCGATGGCTGCCGCCGAGGCGGCGCTGCGAGCGTCTGGCCTGGCCTACACCATCGTGCGCCCCGGCCGGCTCACCGACGGGCCCTACACCTCCTACGACATCAACACCCTGCTCAAGGGGGTGGCGGGCCAGCGGCAGGCGGTACAGCTGGCGAGCCGGGACGTCCTGGACGGCGAGGCGTCCAGGATTGCAGTGGCTGGTGAGGGACGGCTGGTGATGTGATGCTTGGGGGTGGGGTGAGCCTCGGAGGAGCAGATGAATGCATCACCGAGTGCAGGAAAGTTTCGAAGTCCAAATGTTGTGTCGGAATCCGGCAGAATCCAGGTCCTACAACCCTTAACCCCCCAAAATCCACGTGGTGCAGAGCTGGTGGTCCAAGCGCTGGTGACGGGGGCCCTCCGCGACACCTCGGTGTCCATCAGCAGCACGACGGGCTCGGGGCCCGGAGATGATACAGGAGAATGGAAAAAACTCTTCCAAGGTTTGGCCTGAGGCTGAGGACCGATCTGCTCCCCCGAGTGGAGGGGAACCATGGGTCTCGGCATTGGGAAGCGCTCCCAGCTGTCGGATGGAACGGGCCCCGGGGTCGACGAGGCACAAACGATCGTGCGTGCGAAGTGTCAATCGGCCGCGATCGATCTTCCTTCACTCGTGTAAGTCGACTATCGCCGCCAGGCATCGCCTGACGTCAATAACCTTGCATGCCGCGGTCCCAGTAGGATACGCGCAGCAGCCGCAGCTTCTTGAAACCCTAACTAGTGATTCCGTGGTTTCCAGACACGTTCATGTCAGCTCTCGACTTTCCCCACATCCCAATAGCCGCGTGGCGATTTCGGCCTCGCGCATCTTTTCGTGATGCTCTATTATTTTTAAAGAGTTTCAATGACATTAATTATGCTTTGTTGACGGCTGCAAGGGCCTGCCCCAGCGGCTCTGACCCCCCGTCCGGACCCTCCGTGCATGGCTGTCGAGTCTGAAAGCAGAGCTCGCTCGTATGGCCTGCGCAAGCGTCGATCCTCCCCTGAGTGCGTCATGCTGTGAGAGATCGCGATTTGGGGCGGAAATCGAGCCTCGCCTTGTAATGTGTTGGTCACCTGACTTCCCGCGTCTCTTTCGTCATGACTCAGGCTGCAGAGCCCCCATGACGACAAGTCTACGCTGGAGCAGGTGCTTGCCACCGCCCGCAAAGTGGTCATATTCACTGGCTCGGGCCTGTCGGCCAGTTCAGGTGCCTTGACAGGGCGTGCTCAGGGTGTGGGGCCCTGTGCGCAGGGTGTGCTGCACACGGCAGTGGTGTCTGCACAGGGCAGTGGTGGCTGCATCGGCGGGCAAGGGGCCTGTGGAACCACTTGTGGAGTGCGTAGGTTCTTGATATCTGCAGGGCTTGGTGTTCATGTGGTCTCCTGTAGCATTGTTACCCTGTGGCACCATCGCCTGGGACCGCATGGTGCGATTTGCCTCCAGCCATCACACCCGCCCCTTTCCCTCGCTCTTCATGCAGGCATGTCCACCTTCAGCACCAAGGGAGGGCTGTATGAGCGAGCGCAGAAGCGTTTCCGGGTGGTAGACGGCAAGTCCCTCTTCACCTACGCCTTCTACGCCAAGCACCCCCGCCCCGCTCAGGCCTTCCTGGCAGAGGTGCATGGGGAGGCGGTGCGCGCCACGCCGGCCCCCGGCCACTACGCGCTGGCGCTGCTGTGCAGCCTGGGCCGCCTCTCGCGGCACTACACCCTGAACATCGACGGCCTGAGCCAGCGCGCCTCCTCCGCCTTCTCCTACAGCAAGGCCTGCGCCTGGCACCCAGACGACAACCCGGGAGGTGCGTGGTGTACTTGCATGAGCAGGTGTGTTGATCGTCGAGCTCCCGCGGGTTCCCTCCTGTGCAGAGTGAATGTCTCATAGCAAGCGTGGCGTCATCCCCTCATCACCCACCCCCCCTCACATCCCCAGGCCTCCTGGTGGAGCTGCACGGCAGCATCCACCAGTTGGTGTGCGGCGCCTGCGGCGCGACCCGGCAGGCCGCCCCTGCCCAGGTGTCCACGCTGAGGGCGGAGGGCCGCGTCGCCTGCCCCTGCGGCGACCCGGCGGGCATGCGCTTCCGGGTCATGCTGTACGACGACGCGGAGGGCGAGCGCATCACGCCCGACGCCGTGCTGGACGTGATGGAGGGCGACGTGAAGGCCGCGGACGTGGTGCTCTGGGTGGGCATCTCCTTCCAGCAATCAGCCTCCACGCACTACTTCCGCTGTGTGCGGCGCTGGCTGGCCGAGGCGGGGCGCACGCAGGCCTGCCCCCAGGCCGTGGTCAACCCCAGTGACGAGGCGGTGTGGAACCTGCGCACCGCCTCCAGCAACCTGTGTGAGCAGTGAGGGGAGGGGGTGGAGCGTGGAGGAGGGGCGGCGAATGAGGGCGTCCTGGGTTGGGGGGCGCAGCGGGGTCTTGTTCGGGACGCTGGCCGAGGGAGCATCAGATGGTTTTGGAAGCGCGCCCGGGAGGGACTGTGGGGTCGAGGTGTTGACAGCAGGGTCGAGCCAGCTGGCCAGTGTGCCACAGCATGCAGACGGCACGCCTCCCTCTGGCGTCTTGACCATCCTCTCCCCCCGTACAAATCTCACAGCCGAGCTGGCGGTGCTGGAGGTCCTGGGCACGGCCGACGAGGTGCTGCCGGCGCTGGCCGCCCAGGCGGCCCTGCGCCACGCCAGCGAGGGCGCCCAGGCGGCCGCGCAGGGGGCCTGCACGGCCGGCGCCCGGGCGCCGGAGACCCCCTCCTCCCCCTCCCTCCTCCTCCTCCCTCTCCTCGCCCCTGACCTCGCAGCCGGAGGTCGAGGAGGAGGTGGCCGGGCCGCCCCAGCGGCCCGGCGCGCGCAGAGGCCGCCGGGGCTGATGCTGTGGTGCGAGCCTGCTGTTCCACCCTGGCTCTGGTGGTGGACGGCTCTGGGTGCTGCCACCCCACGGGGGAGCTCGCTGGCGCCCCTGTGGTCCGGCGTGCCGATGCATCCTCTCTTCCAACCAGCCTGAGTGGAGGCCTGGGCTCTCGACAGATTTTCCCCGCAAGTGAGGGGAGGGGGAGCGAGCTGCACAAGCCGTCCTCCTCCCGACCCTGTATTCTACGCGTCCCTCACCCTTTCTCGCCCCCGCGCGGCACGTGCATGCCGCCGCCCTGACTCTCCCTTGCACATACCTCTCCCGGCTGCCCTCCCCCCGTGCAAACGAATCCCCTGACTGTGCAGACTGCCGTCCCCCCCCCCCCCCCCCCCCCCTC